TACTTTTCGTCAAATCAAATAATCTCTGAATTTTTTATTTTAAGTTTAAATTGGAATACAACAACACAATAATAACAACAACAAGAAGCTTTTGTCCCACTACGTGGGATCGGCTACATGAATCCTTCTTCTCCATTCTGTCATGTTGAAAGTTAATTTTTCATTTAAATATAATAAAGAAAGATCATTTCTAATATTTTCTAACAAAGTTTTTTTAGATCTACCTCTACCTTTCTTAATATAAGTCAAATCTAATACATCTACTTTTCTAACCGGATCATCGGAAGGCCATTTTATATGACCAAACCATCTAAAATGACTCTCTCTAATATTATCTTCCATTGACACTACTCGAACCTTTCACATATATTATCATTTCATATCCTATCTCTACGGGTAAAGCCACTCATCCACCTAGGCATTCTTATCTCAGCAACACTTAGTATTTTGCTTCTCTTTTAATGCGCAACATTCAACACCTTTTTTCATAATTGGAATTAAAAAAAAAATTTCATAGATTGAAATTTAATATCCCTTTTTTAAAAAAAATTTGATTAGATGATTAAAGAACCAACTTCTAAAATTTTGTATGTTATGTAATGAATAATGCATCTAAATAAAATAAACTGATTTATGGTGCACCCACATTGAAATTAACCAAATTGAACTGAATCTTACCGAAATGATTATTTTTCAAAATTGATTTAGAGTTTTTACTTTTTAACACGCCTACTTATTATAGTTCTCGAAGCTTACTCGTTTGCAAAACTTTATTATAAATCAAAATTAACTTTCCTATTTAATATGTACACTACTCCAAAAGGACTGCTTCGTAGCACTAACAAAGTGGATTTCCAGTTTGTTTTGAGGTAATTTAAAGCGTAAGTTTGTGATTAAGGCTCGGTTTGAAATGAATTTCTTATTATTTTGTAAAGTAAATTTTTAATATAAATTTTTAATTTTTATTAAAATTTTATTTTAAAAAATATTAAGAAAGTCATCTCAAATGAATCATAAATAAATCTATTTAAAATAAGTTAAAATTTTTAGATAATTGTTGAAAATATTATCTTAAAGAAAATTTGGTGGACGAGCGGTAATACAGTGACAACTGATGGTCAGGTAGGAGTCCGACGATAGTAGGTGGCCATGCGTAAGTCTGACGATGTTTGGTGGTTTGATGGTGGTCTAATGATGGTCAATGGTCCAATGGTGGTTTGGTGGTGGTCGAGGAGGAGTCTGGTGACAAGCAAACTCTGATTTCTATTATCTCCCTTCTCTTCCTTTCCTCTTTTTCTTCTCTTTCTTGCTTGGTCCCCCTCTTTAGTGAAGAATGAGGGATCTATAAATAGTTTTTTGGGAATAATATGACCAATAAATAAGGAGAATATCAAGGTCAAGTTGAGAGTGTTTTGAATGGATGAGTGATATCGACTCCCTTGAATGTGGAACGTTTATTGAATATTTGAGTATCTTAATGTTATCAGAATTTGTCAATCTTACGTGCCCCTTGCTTCCCCCCCCCCCTCTTGTTCCGCTCATGACTTCAACCATCCAACTTAAATTATACTAATAATATCCCCATCTATTTCACCATCATTTTAAATAATAGATTAAAGATATCTAAAATGTGTACTCTTATTAATGACTTTATCACCTAAAGTCATAACCCCCCTGTGAAACCCTTAAGTTTGAAGTTGTTTTTGAATTTCTGTAGCGTTCATCTGTACGAATCGTCTGGACGATTAAAACGAGCTCAGAATAGAGCAAATCATCCTAGGAAGAAAAATAATTATCGTCCATATGATTTGCGTATAGAGGAGATCATCCTAGGACGAAAAATAATTATCGTTTGTATGAATGTGGTCTGAAGGCAGTCTAGAGTCGATCATCCCAATACGAACTTTAAATATCGTCTGTATGAATGTTGTCTGAAGGCAGTCCAGAGCCGATCGTCCCAGTACGAATTGTAAATATCATTCATACGATCGCAAATATCTTGTTAAGCACTGTTTGACTCGTTTTGAAGGGAGAAAGAGGAGAGAGAAAGAGGAAGAAACAACATTTTGGGTGACTTTGGTTCGTTTTTGTCCGTCGGCTCAATTGAGAAAGTTGATCTACTCCAGGTAAGGCACATTATGCATGTCTCAATTTTTAGAAATATGAGTTTTAACGAATATTCCGATTAAAGTTTTGTGTCTGTTAGCGAAAAATGGGAATAACTTTGCACTGATAAATCTTTTACCGTGTAACTTTTAGTATGTTATAGAGATTATGAATTATGCGTTTTGAATATTTTATAGAAATTTTTCACTGGATATTTTGATATCTGCGGGGTTTTTATCGAATAGAAAATTATCTAAATATTGAAAAAAGGTGCTTCAGTACTATAAAGTTTTGAAACATTGTTTTACACGATCTCTGATAATGTGGTAATTTTCTAAAAATATGTATTTTTGCATTGTTGAATTTTCTGTTGTCTACTATTATACAATATGACGATATTTTGATACAAGCTTAATTACCTTGTAAATGATACGATGTGATCATGTATATGCATATGTGATTGAATGAAATCTACTGGGAGTTATAAGGGGCTAGAATCATTTGAGATTCTGTCTATGTCAGGGAAGGGAGGCAGAAGAGGTCAGAATCTTTTGAGATTCTATCTGGGTCCGAGAAATGAAATCTAATCTGAATAATTCTTTATATCTGATATGTTCTGGTGCTGTAAGCACGAAGGGAGGCATAATGGGCTGAAATCCTTTGAAATTCTGTCAGGGTTAGGAAATGTGATTTGAAATCTAATCTAAAATGTGATTTTGTACGATTCTGTAATACAAATTTTTATTCAGTTCTTCTATTTATGTTATTTGATTTCGTATGATTATCTGTTCTTTACGAATATCTAAATTATGTCTGATTGCCTGATTCTGGGCGATTATCCAAATTCTGTGTGTTTATCTAGATTTATGATGAATATTTGAATTCTGTACGTCTGTCTGAATCAGTGAATAAGGTTTTATAATTTTCAGTTGAATGATTTATAATATTTTTGAAATGAGTGTGTATGGAAATTTAGATCGGCTAGTGTGATCTTGCTGAGCTGTTAGCTCACCGTAGTTTTATTTATGGTTTTCAGGATCTGGGAAAGGGAAGGAAGTTGTGGACTAGCCGAACAGAATTTGATATGAAGTTATAGGTATTTTTGTCATTTAGATTTTTGTACAGTCATGGCTAGTTACTTTTTTGTTTAGTACCTTTTGTCTGAAGCCATGTACTGTAGTGTATATGATTTTTTGATGAATGGAAAGAAATACTTTGTGGATGAGTTTTTCTGTATTTGAAAGTTTTTAGTGGCTCTGTAGTTCTGTATTTCAACCCATATTGGAAGAAAATCTAAAAAGCAATCCCAAAACTAGATTCTGGGGTTCGCCTGTCGTAGCTCAACATGATAGGATCCGTCATGGTCGGGTTGGGTTGTGACACCCGCCCCCCAAACAAGAACTATTAACACTAAAATTATACTATATATATTAAGTTTTAGATCTACTCAAACAAAAGCCTTTAGACTCTAAGGTTGACCTCCATAATTCAAGTTTACCTTCAACTCCCTCTCTAATCTTATCAACAAGAAGAATATCATCAGCAAAAATCATATATCAGGGTACAACCTCTTGCAAATGTCTAGTGAGAACATCATGACTGAAGCAAAAAAAATATGGGCTTAAGGCTCATCCATGATGCAATCCAACTGAAATAAAAAAAAATACTTGGTCAAACTGCCTTGTGTTTGAACACAAGTAACAGCTCCTGCATACATATCCTTAAAGACTTGTATATAAGCATTATTAACTTTTTTTTAGAACTCACCATATCATTTCTCTTGAAAATTTTATCATATGTTTTCTCTAAATCAATAAATATCATATGTAGAACCTCCTTGTTCTCCCTATACTTCTCCATCAAACCTCTCAATAAATGTATAACTTTTGTAGTTTACCTACAATGCATGAATCCAAATTGATTTTGAAAAACATTAGTATCACACCACAACCTATGCTCTACAACTCTCTCTAATTAGTCAAGATGTGTAAATAAAAAAAAATCTTATGTAAAATTGACTACTGATAAAATTTATTGCAAGGTTCTTGGATCCCTCTTTTCAAAATAAAAATGAAAATGGCCCCTTAAGTTTATGTGGATATGTAGGTAGCATATGGTGCTACCTAATTTTTAATTTTTTAAAAAATAATAACAATTAACAAAAATCTAGCTATTTCACAAAGTAAAGCATATTAGTAACATATTGTATACTTGATCATTTAAAATATACTAACTTCATGAGCTAAACTTATATATAAGATAATTTAGTGGTAGTCGGATCTATAAGAAATTATAAGGCCAATTTTGATAATACAATTTGTATGATCAAATTATTTATGTCCTCTCTTTTTATAAACTTTTTTTTTTATATTAGAGAAGTGGAGACTGTATATTTCTTTTAATCCACTATAATTTTAATATTATATTTAATATTAATTAATTTGTTTAATTATTTAAATAAAAAACATTTAAACCGATCAATTTTAAAAAATTAAGACCAGCAGTTCTTTATCTTGTTTAATGCAAAACAAATTTTTATGTAGGATCCGATTGACCTTTTGACAGGTTCACGGTTGAATCTGTCGAACCGGTAGGTCCATTCAATTTTGTAAACTATTCATACTAAAGGTCAATTAGTCAAAATAATTGAAAATTAAAATTCAAAATTTAGATAATATATATTATTTGTAAAATAAAATAAAATATTAAAAAAAACAAATTATATTAAAATGATATCAATATTCTTGAAATAATAATCTTATCTAAATAATTTTGAATCTATATCCCTTTAGTCAAATAATCACCTCATAAAATATTTTCTATTTTTTAAAAAAGGCTTTGCCCTTTGATTCAAAGATGCATCGAAGTACATATCTACATTATGTATTTGTTTATTTTATTCGCTCCGTCTCTGCTGACCCTGGCTGCGTCGCGCAGAGGAAATTTAATTAGCCGGCATTCGTCATTACCAACCATGGCAATAATATGAATGCCGAAACGAAACTTACGACTAAGGAAAGAGGAGGGAGGGAGACAAAGAAGAGAAAGAGAGAGAAAGAGAGTTTGGGTTTGACCATCTACACCTCAATGCGTGTGCCCGCTTATATCCCTTGACATCGGCAAACTCAGCGCTAAGCTGCAGCTCAAATCCTCTTCCCCTCTCTCTCAGATTACCATTTTCAGCTCTGTCTCTGTTCCTTTCCTGTTCCTGATCTTATTCTGCGGAAAAAGATTGCTTCTTGCTCGATCTATCAGACTCTTTTCATTCTTTTCCTCCCCTAACTCCTGCGCTGCTCTCGGTTGGCGCTCAAGGTGAGTTTTTGTTGGCGTGTTGTTGCTCATCTCATTTTTTTCGATCTGGTTTAACTATTTCTTCACTTCGTTTCTTTTCTTTATTCCTTCTTGTTGCATCTTGTGATTTGTTTTGGATCATCCTTCGGCTGCAGGGGTTTCTAGCTAATCTTCGAAATTTTCTGTGGTGATTTGATGTTGCATGGAAAGGGGATAAGGGAATTTTAGGGTTTTCAAAGATTTTGTTTCTAGTGCAATGGGCTCATTTTGCTCCAAGGGCTCAGCAGTGGACAAATCGCCTAGTGATGTTACGATCAGTGTGGGTAGCCGAAGAGATCTTGAGAAGTTATCTTCGCCGTCTGAGCTGAAGGCTTATGGTTTGAAGAGTCTTAAAGCTGGTGATGCTGTGGGGAAGCGTTCTCTGGAGCAATCCTTTTCGTTCTCAGAGGGGATGCTATCAAATTTTGGAAATACTGGAATTTCGACGCCAAGGCAACCTGCTTTGACCAGAGTTCTTTCTGAAAAATCCACTTCGGCTAAGTCAAAGGCTGCCGCTGGAGCCAAATCTGGGACACACAAGGCAAGCCCTTTCTTTAGATATTTCTTATTTTTCCGTTTGCTTAGTTTTGCCATTGCTGTAGGGGGAACTATAGATGGTAATGTCATGAGCCAAGGGATTTTATAACGGTACAATTTAGCACAAAAGGCATGAGAATAGACGGCAATGTTGCAATTAGCAACATTAGCTCTAGGCGCAAGCTGGAATTCATAAATTATGTAAAGGAATTTGATTATTTTTAGAATGATTAATCATTTAGAGGGAAAATTTTATATTCAAAATTCAATGTATCGCTACTGTTCTAATCCTAGTAGGCATTCAGTAACCCTGAAACTGGAATCTTTTGTTACTAATTGGTCTTTTTATTGTTTACTTGCTTATAAGCTAAGTAAAGCCTATATTTCCAGACCTTTTCAGGCTGAATAACAGAAATTAGTACTTAAGAGTGAGGATTTTCTGCTTCTCCATCCCCGTATACCCGTATATTGCAACTAGTTGAAAAAAATGCTTATGAATGAAATTGTGAATTAACTTGAATTATAGTTCTAACAAAAGAAACGGTCTTTCATTGCTTGAAGTTCCAATGCCTTAAAATAAAGTAGAGGAATAATTGCTTGTGAGTAATACCGGAAGTAATGCAAAGTTTGCTACTTTAAGGCTCCCAAAATTTCTTTAATCAGCCTCACTTTGCTTTTCTTGCGATTCTTGTCACTCATATTAGTATCTAATAGATGTGGTTCATGTTTACTTTTTGTTTACAATTGATAAAATTGCCATTATTTAGGCTTCGTTTGGAACAGCTTTCTTATTGCTTTGTAAAGCGGCTTTTTAGTACAAAAAATTCTTGACCTAAAAATTTTTGTACTAGGAAGCTATTTTAGAAAGCAGTAAGAAAGCCGTCTCAAGCAAAGCCTTAGTGAGCTGCTCAAAGTACTTATTTAGATCCTTTTCCAGTGAATATGTCATGGCTTTTAAAAAAGCCCTGGTGCTTACTTAATTTTGTGCTTATTCAGGTTGCTGAAGTAAGTTCGCTTCTAGGAAGAGCTGGTACTGTTGGTTTTGGGATGGCAGTGGAGGTTTTGGACACACTAGGCAGTAGCATGACTAATTTGAACATTGGAAGTGGTTTTTCATCAGGATTGGCAACAAAAGGAAATAAAATATCCATTCTTGCTTTTGAGGTTGCTAACACAATCGTAAAAGGTGCCAATCTTATGCATTCACTTTCAGAAGAAAGCATAAAGCATTTGAAAGAAGTGGTGCTTCCTTCAGAAGCTGTTCAGCGTATAGTTTCCACAGATAGAAATGAATTGCTAAGAATTGCTGCTGCTGATAAAAGGTCCGTTTGCAAGGCAATATCTATTATAAGTTTGTTTGATTGAATGCACATTTTTATTTTTACTTTTTTGATAAAATTTTGCAATTCCTACTGCACTAAAAATGCATGCTATGAACTTTTTTTTAAAAAAAAATAAAATAGATTGCCTTTGATATCCTTTAATACTTGCCAGGGAGGAGTTGAAAGTGTTTTCTGGGGAAGTTGTTCGATTTGGTAACCGCTGTAAAGATCCTCAATGGCACAACTTGGATCGCTACTTTGCTAAGTAAGTATTCATACTTTCAATTTGATAGATGTCCTTTGTTTTGTACTTCAAAACTTATGTAAATCTTTTCCTATTTCATTGAATCTAGATTAGGTTCAGAAATCACACCACGACAACAGCTGAAGGAGCAAGCTGCAGGAGTTATGCAGCAGCTATTGACATTGGTCCAATATACAGCTGTAAGTGCATTTTTTTTGCTCGTACATAGTTCAAAAGTTTTCCTGATAACTATACATGCTGATTTCATTTGTATATTTTATTCATGATAATCAGATTTTGATATTGTAATTCTCTGAGACTTTTGCATAAGCTAGTCTTAGAGCATATTATTAAAGATGTCTAAATTTGTAGAGAATATGCATTGGAAGGAAGTTTCTGATGAAAAATACACTTTTTCATGAAAATATCGTAGTTAATTGTCTTCATGCTTGTACTTATTCTGTCCTTGCCTATTTTATGTGACTAATGATTGAAGTCAATGCATTATTTATCAAATATCTACTTGATTTGATCACTTATATATCCATGTAAATTGACATTAGTTTGAGTGCCCTGTTATCTAGTAGTTTCATAAGATTCCATTTAACTATTTCACGGAATAGCTTGAACTAAGGTTGATTGTTGTACTTTTGCTTCTAAAAATTCTTAGTTCAGCAAATGCTTGTGCCTTTGCTTCCTAATTTTCATAGTTGAACAGAACAGTCAGAACTTCTACTTATAGAAAATTGCATTTTTGTTAATAAAATAGCTTCAAGCAATTTATGCTTCCATTGACTTTTTCCCTTGATTTTTAATAGTTTTAGTAAGCATTGAAAATATATCTTTAAATGAGAGATTCCACAATATGGAATCTTCCACCACGTAAGCTAATGAAGAATTGTGTCCGCAAGATTATTTTCTATTACACAATCTTTTATAAATGTGCATATTAGTGTGATATTAATAATGCAATTAAAAGGGTTTTTTTTTGTGTCTGTATTGTGGGTGTATGAACTGGTCGGGTTGGATCTGATTTGTAGTAGCTGATCTATCACTATTAATGGACAATCAAGTTCGATACACACACACACATTTTTATTTAGATCATAGGATTACCTACCAATTGTCTAGTAAACTAGGGACGTTTCTGTGTTATCTGCTTAAATCAGTTCATTTAGATTGTTAGAATATCTAATGATTGTGTAGCTAAATTATGATTGTGTCTACATATCATTTGCTTAAATCAATTAATTTAGCATAGAATTGCTTACGAATTATGTAGATGCTATCTTTAATATTTCTCTTAAACCTCAACTCCAACTGTCTAGCCCTTATGCTGACAACCAACACTCTTCCCTCTATTTTGCTGTCTCAATTCAGCTCTCTAGAATACCTTCCTTTTTGCACACATATGACTGCTGATCCTGTTCTCCTCTGCCTCCATTTTTGATAATGATATGATGATTATTGACCTCTAACTTCCAGCTAGCCCTAACTTACGCAACTTCCTACGTTCGCCAACCAACACATTCGTTTGTTTTCAAAACCACACAGGTAGTTTGTGATATATACTGTTGAATCACTCAGCCAAGGGGAGGCCATGTCAGCAATCTGTGGGAAACAATCTGAGGGTTGCAGTTGGAGATCCGTGGGCAGCAATCCAAGGGTTGCAGTTGAGATCCTTGGGAAGTAATCTGAGGACTGCAGCTGGAGATCCGTAGGATATGATTATTATAATTAATTAGATTAAATGTCTTTCCTTTTTCTACTTATTATCTAGATCTGCAGACAATTCTTCTACTCTTCCTAGACCATGGTGTGATCACTGTGCCAAGCCAGAGCATATAATGGAGACATTTTGGAAGATTCATAGAAAACTAGCTGATTGGAAGGGAAAACAATCAGCATAAGAAAGCAAGGTGAACCTTATCAGCACCCGTGACTCCATCTTTGACCACACGCAAGCCCGACATTCGTCCACCTCTGCCTCTCCAGCGCCCGATTGTCGAACTTGCCGACCCTGTGGCTGATCTGTCTCCCTTCTCCTTCTCTATTTGTTATATATATATAATATAATATAATAAAAAAAAGAGAGAAAGAGAATTTTAAACAGGTGTCGAAGACCTGTTCTATCGATCTTAGATCCGGCCAGGAATGCATAAATTGAAGCCCCCACGCCAATTATCTTTGATCTGGGTGGGAAGATTTTTTTTTATTAAATGGCCCATGCAGCTGTCTTAGATCCTGGTGGGATGATTGTCAATTCGAAGATCCTGCACTGTTGTATCTAAGATCCGGATTGGAGTTGACCTGACTTAGATTAAGAAACGAATGTCTAATCATGAAACATAAAGGCTATCTAACTGAAATTCATCATAAAACACAATTTTTTGATTTTACTATTTGTATAATTGTCAATTGTTAAACCTAATCCGTTGTTAGTGGTTGAACAAAGTTGATAAGGTTCAAACAACCAATTGTCAACAAACCCTTATGATGGTCGTGTTGAAAGTTAATGTCAATCGGAGGGGACTACAAACTTTTAAAATACCTCCTAATTTCCTACGAAAATAAAAGTGACTTGACGTCACCCCGATGATGGTTGTGTTGATAGTAAATTTCGACTGGAGTGGTCAATTCTTAGAAGACTATAAAAACTTCAAAATTTAATCACTAATATTTGAAACTAAAATTCATCCACCTTCCGTAATCATTTTTTGGGGATGGTAACTTTGAAATTAACCTCAACTCAGAAAGAGCGAATGTCATGTCGGGTATATAACTAAGATTCATCTTCAAATAGTCTTTTGCTAGTAAGGACGATGCATGAGCCCTTTGATTGGTTGATTTTGCCGCAAAATGGTAGTGTTATATTACGATCACGATCAAAGCTCGTATGTTCCCTAATGGCGTTAAACCCTTGAGTAATGAACAATGTTTAAAATTGCGTATTCGGGTATTGAGGCGTTTTTCATTCGTGAGGTGAGGCGTAAGCCTCAAGGCGTTTTGAGGCGCAAGCCTCAAAATCAAAAGATTGCGTAAACATAAAATGATAAATTTTTTATATACTAATTAGTGAATAATATAAAACACAAAAAAAACATAAAATATGAAGTGAAATCAAAATATCAAAATACTGGGATTTGGAAAAGATAGAATTTTGAGTTGAACTATATTTCATGTTGTCTTATTATTGGGATTTCATTAACATATAATTCCAATTTCCAAAAATAAATAGCAATGACATATCACATAAGAACTCATAAGTCATCAGCACTGTCATCACTAAGGGGTTCTTCATTTGAATTATCATTATGATGAACTGTTCTCTCCCCTTCCTCCTCTCCTATAGAGTCCAATGTCAGGCATTTACTTCAAGATTTATGTACGTTTTAATATATATAGCGTGAGGCGTAAGCCTTATGTCAGTGAGGCGAGGCGGGCCTCAACCAAGTTGAGGCGCAAGCCTCATAAAAAAAACTCGAGGCGTAAGCATCAAGGCGTTTTTTACTGGAATTGCGCAAAGGCGGGCCTCAAGGCGAGACTCATGTTGCGCAATTTTAAACCATGGTAATGAATTAATCATAAGGTATATTCGATAGACATAAAGCTCTATGTCAACTAAGGTGAATTTAGATTTATTCCCTTAGACAAACATCACCCCAGGTCTACAAGATATCTTTGGAAAAAGCAGCCTATGACTGATGATAAGATGCTTTCTATCAAGTTGGGTCGACTACCTCCTTTGACTAAGTAGACCATTGACCATGACAGCTTGGGACGACATAACCATGAGACCTTGATCGAGCTCGTTTTCATTTTCCCCATCACCTGCTTTAAGTATATGGTGATAAACTTCAAAATTCAAATTCAAGCTCAAACCATAAATCTGTTGCTATTATATGTTGGGTTTGCAACCTATGCGACCTATCTTACGATTAGCCTTAATCAAAAGTTCTCTCTTATTATCGAGAGAGGTAATTAACTATAAAGGCTTGTGCCTATAGAAAATTAGAACTCATATCATAAAGTCCTCTCATAATGAGGGCGAAATATCTGGATAGTGTCTTATCTAAAACCCAATATTCCTTCTGAAATTTTACCTTGAAACCCATACTCGTTAAAACTCCCCTTGCCTACTTAAACAAACAAGAAAGAGGTGGTGCGGAGAGGCCGGGGCATGAAATTTTCGGAGCCCATAATGATGTGTCGTAAGGCTCCATTTCCCCTCCCCCTCATCCACCAAAGGGGTGCTAATGTCATGTACCCTCTCTTCTTGATCTTGGTCATGCACGTGATCCCCAATCAATTTACTACTACCAACTTGCAATTTTTCTTACTCTTCACAATGTTCTTGCTCTCCAATCAATGTGCTTGTACTACCATGCAATCCCCATCACTCCCTTTCCATCTTTACTGCATCCTTTCTCTTTTAATCTCCTCTTTCATTGCATGTCCACATGAAAGTCTAGTTAGCTAGGCTTTCTTCTATTCTCTTATGAAGGATTGAACTCTTCCGCATCTCAATTTTTGACCACTAGCAACTGTTCACTATATGCTCCATCACTGGCTAACTGAACCTTGGACATCATCTTCTCCCGCATGTGAAGCCCCCACAGATGCCATGTAATCCCCTTGGTAAACAAGAGCTCTTCCTCTATTTTGTTGCACACAAAATCTGCCAATGAGATAGCTGACCTAATTAAAATTGAATCAGGGTAGACAATGATCACTATAAGAAAATCGCTCATTATCGGCGGATTACGCTAAAATATTTCCAACTGATTTTCAGGCAGAATTTCCGACAGCTTTCCGGCGGATTTTAATAATATCTGAAAAATCATATATTCATAATTTAATTAATTAACAATTCAATAAATTATTTTAATTACTTTTTAATTTTCTGACGGGCAGCTTCTTTTTTTTTTAATTAATTTTTTTTATTTTCCGACCGGCTTATTCCACTGGATGGCTGTTGGAAAAATTTTCCTAAGCGGGTTTAACCGGCGCAAAATTTTCCACCCGTAATAGGTGTTTTTCCTGTAGTGGATCTGATCGATTTTCCCACATCATCTGAGGTATTTCATAAATCAAATATTCAAAATACCAGTTATTGTTTGGACACAGGTTTGGTGTACCTTGATTTGGTTAATCTTTTTAGTAAGGTCTGAGCGGTGGTTTGACTTACATTTGGTCTTACTCTTTTTGACTAAGCTCCAGGAGCATTTAATCATACCTGCTACACCAACCAACCCCCCTCAACAAATCAAGACACCTTAGCAAAACAACCCTCGTCATACCAAACCCCCTCATCACCACGCTTCCTAATTGGCATTATCCAAAAAGGGAAAAACATCAACATCTATGAATCTAGCCAAGATTTTATGGATGCCCACTTCTTTATAATCCAATCATGTGTGCAGCACTTACGCTATGTTTGTGAAGGAAAAAAATAAAAATAAAAAAATCATGTTTTCTTATTGACTGAAATGTTATTCCATGGAGTGTTTTGTTCGATTGTCAAAGATTGGCTCAGAAAGTGTTTGTCTAGACTTTTCATTTGTAAATGGTGCTTTCCAAGTCCGCCATTAGGAAGGCTTGGTCTTCTGGCATCCACCTTGTTGTGACTAGGGATACTTGGTTTTTATTTTTGTTCCTTCATTTTTTTTACCTTATCAACCGAACCATTTGATACTAGATGTCAAAGGGCTTGAATTTCGTTATACTTGATTTCCAAATTTGTTTTTTGTGAAGTACCAACGGGTATTCATTTATAATTCAAGATTTTTATTCTTTGTCTCACCAGATTGGATGTTGTGCTTGATCTTAAAGTTGGTATGTCCGTTTAATGGGACTGACTATGGATTTTGGTATTCTTTTTGTTCTGTAGGAGCTCTATCACGAGTTGCATGCTTTTGATAGATTTGACCAAGATTATCGTAGAAAACTCCAAGAAGAAGAAAATCCAGGTGAAATTTAGAAAGGTTTTCCTTTATTTGTATATGTCATTAAGAACAGTTGTGAAACTTTGTGCATTACTCATATGATTCTATTTTTCTTTCCCCGTTCTCTTTAATATCCTGCTTCACCGAGATTAATGATTTGAGAGTAATGCAGATCAATTTTATGTAATTTTAATATTGCATTAATAAAGAATAAAGGACACCAAATTGTTCTTTCCAATGCTTAAAAAAAAATTTCTTTTAGATTGAATCAATTAGAAATGACATTTCTTTATTAGATTTAGATGAGAATTTAACCCTTAACTGGACAATGGAGAAAAATGATTCATGTAGTGCCTACATAGTAGGATAAAGGCTTGTTATTGTTTTTGTTAGATTGGATCAATTAGTCAAATAATGAGCCAACCCTTAATCAAATAGATTGAGTAAAATTTGAGTTGAATTGAGCTGACTCGATGTTATATATATATATATATATATACACACACACACACACACAGAGCATAACTGCATATATGAATTAATATAAGTGCTTTTTTGTAGGTTTGGCTTGTTTAGACCCCTAGCCTCTCCCCAACCAAAGGAAATGAAGTCATATAGCATGTGTATAAAAACTTCCAGTATGATGTTCATAAGAATTAAGCCCCTTTTCGTTGTACACATGAAACATCAATTTCATTGTTATATATTATTTGGTGTTATTTTTAGTATGTAGGTATGCACATAATGCTTGCTCTAATATGGTATTAAATTTTTATCATGGCATTATGTAACCAACATCAGTTTGACTCTTATCCCAACTATTTGGGATTGGTTTTTAGCATCAAACGGAGAGGCCAATTTTTTCTTGAACGTCTTACTATTGTCCATAAAAATTCGTGACCAAATGTATCTTCTCTATTTCCATACAGGAGAAGGTTTTCAAATTCTAAGGCATGAACTCAAAAGCCAAGGGAAGCAGCATAACTGCATATATGAATTAATATAAGTGCTTTTTTGTAGGTTTGGCTTGTTTAGACCCCTAGCCTCTCCCCAACCAATGGAAATGAGGTCATAGCATGTGTATAAAAACTTCCAGTATGATGTACATAAGAATTAAGCCCTTTTCGTAGTACATATGACATCAATTTCATTGTTATCTATTATTTGGTGCCATTTTTAGTATATAGTTATGCACGTAATGCTTGCTTTAATACAGTCTTAAATTTTTTATCATGGCATTATATAACCAACATCAGTTTGACCCTTATCCCAACTATTTGGGATTGGTTTATAGCATCAAACGGAGAGGCCAATTTTTTCTTGAACGTCTTACTATTGTCCATAAAAATTCTTGACCAAATGTATCTCTCTATTTCCATACAGGAGAAGGTTTTCAAATTCTAAGGCATGAACTCAAAAGCCAAGGGAAGCATGTAAAAAGCTTAAAGAAGAAATCATTGTGGTCTAGAAACTTGGAAGAGGTTAGTCAATGGCATTCTGCGGCACCCCCCAAATATCAATAATATGAACATATTCTCTCTCTCTCTCTCTCTCTCTCATACATTTACTTTTACAGTCATGCATTTCTGTTCTGAGAAAATCTGTTTGCCCACTTGCAGGTCATGGAAAAGCTAGTAGACATTGTGCACTTCATGCATTTTGAGATCCATGAAGCCTTTGGAAGTGCTGGTATTGCTTCTTGAACTTCTACTTCTGAAAGTATTAGAATTATCACACTTAAAAAGTTGCATTAAAAGAAAACTAAGTACAAAAGCTATTAGGGCTAGATTTCAAGGAAAAGCAACTCAAGAATGCAACCTCTTCCACTGGCCAGTGACCAATAGAGCTTGACAATGATAATCAGAACCACAAACCTACTAAAGGTCACAATCAGTAGCACACAATCATGATTCAGTGGACAGCAAAACTGTCCATATCATTTATGACACCGAGTATTGTAATGTTTAAGATCAATCATACTAGAAGGATTGTTCATCTTTTTTACTTAGGTTTGGTTTGGGACGGCTTTCTTATTGCTTCTTAAAGTAGCTTTAAAGTATGAAAATATTAATTTTTATACTAAAAAACTGGTTTAAGAAGCAGTAAGAAAGCTGTCCCAAACAAAACCTTACTCTGGCATGTAGCTGTTTTTACTTGTAGAAAGTGTTGTATTCTTTTTGCTAGCTTTCTCATCAGTTAGTATTATAGACTATGTTCATTAACTATAATGAGTGCAAATCCTCTACAATGCATGTGCACGTTTCATGAAGAACCATCCGCCATGTTATTAGTAGCTTCAAGCATCTTGCATCATATTTCATTTTCCCTGCCAGTGCATATGCTGCTAGTTTATTCTCTTTTGATTTTTATTTTGGTGTGAACTTTTAGAAGGTGATAACTCTGTGGTGCGTTCCTTCAACAGTCATCAACGGTTGGGCCCAGCTGGCCTTGCATTGCACTATGCAAATATCATCAATCAAATCGACACACTAGTAAGTTTTCCCTTATTCTAATAGAGAAATTTTGTTTGTTTTTATCGTCGGTGGCATCTAGTCTTCACTACCCAACCATTACACGCTATTTTTAATTGGTGGTTTTATTGTGAAACATTGAAAATCCATACCACTTGGGATTAAAATCAGTAACTTGTTACATATTCTACATTATTTGAATAATGCATCTCATATCATTTTTTTCATAATGTTTCTTGAAACATTTCAGCAAACGATTTTTTTCCCTAAAATGACCGTTGCTGAGAATTTCTAAGCTAAATAACTGGTATAGTCCTGTTCAAAGAATATTTTACTGAAATGTTTCAAGAAAAAAAAAAAAAAGATTAATTAGATTGACTTTGTTGTATGGATATGGAATTTGTCTGAATCATTGTAGAAAATATATATGCGGCAAAGGTAACAATGCTGTTGTGAGAAAAAGATGCATTTAAACTTTAGATTCAACATTTCATGCAGCTGCTAAGAAGAATGAATGTTGAAAGATTACAACAACTACATCAACATCATGCCATTGTCCCACTATGTGGGGTTGGCTACATGAATCCTGTTTCTCCATTGTGTCGTGTTAGAAGTCAAATTCTTGGTTAAATCTAGTAAAGAAAGATCATTTCTCATATTTTCTAACCAAGTCTTTGTAGGTCTACCTCTACCTTGCTTAACATAAGTCAAATCTAACACCTCTACTTTCCTAACCGGGTCATCGGAAGGCCGTTTTTTTATGTGACCAAATCATCTTAGGCGACTCTCTCTAATCTTATCTTCCATTGGTGCTACTCCGATCATTTCATGTATATGATGCTTATTTCGTATCCTATCTCTAAGCATAAAGCCACTTATCCACCTGAGCAATGAATGTAGGAAGATTGATAAAAAAAAGAAAAAAAGATCCCATATAGTGTGGACAAAGTTTATGATGATAATGTCTTCGCGGTACATCCTGTACATAAAATCAAGCGTAGTTGATATTGTTATTTCTCAGCAAATTACTTAATTATCATTGGCATTAAGAAAACTAGTACTGTGCAGGTATCACGCTCAGGTTCTGTACCACCAAACACGAGGGATTCATTGTACCAAAACTTGCCACCTACAATAAAATCTGCTTTACGATCGAAACTGCAAGTGTTTCAGCTCAACGAAGAGGTACATGAGACAAACTACTTTTCTTGCTATAAAGAAAATATAATCCTTAAAAGAAATCTCAAAAGTTATCTAGATTTCTTACTGCATATGTTTGTTCTTACTGCTTCATTGTAGCTGACTGTCCCTCAAATCAAGGCTGAAATGGAGAAAACATTGCAATGGCTTGTCCCAATTGCTAATAACACTACCAAGTAAGCCAACTTTTCCTTACCGCTCCTCGCCATGAATTTTATTGAAGTTGTTATATATTTAGTTTCTCTCTCTTCCAACTACTTCCAGTATCTTTTCAAGTAGAAATAATTCTTAAAACATTCAAATAATTTAATTTTCCTGAGCATTTTTTTAACAATGCAGAGCGCACCATGGCTTTGGCTGGGTTGGAGAATGGGCAAGCACAGGGTCAGTTTCTCTATTCAAACTTTATTCTACCATCTTTTCTTCTTCTTATTTATATTTTGTTTGGGACAGTTTTCTTCCGGCTTTTTAAAGTAGCTTTTTAATATAAAAATTAAAATTTTTTACTAGAAAGCTGCTTTAAGCAACAATAAGAAAGCCGTCTCAAACAAAACCTTAGATAAATAAGAAATTGAATTACTTGCTATTCCTTTTAGGGCGGAGGTGGCTCATAAGCCAGCAGGCCATTCCACCATGCTCAGAGTTGAGACCTTCTTTCATGCCGATAAAGCGAACACTGATGCCTACATACTAGACTTGATTGTATGGCTCCACCATTTCATTAACCTTTCAAGGCGAGGGAAGAACTTCTTCTCCTCTCGTTCCCCAGTCAAATCTACACTCCTTTCTTCCTCTCAGAACTCTGCATCTTCTGCTCTTTCAAGCAAATCAAGTCCAATCAACTCTTCCACTTACACATCAACACTCACAGAAGAAGAGCAAGAGATGCTGAGACAAATAGTGCTCCCTAAAAGGTCTTATAGAATAAGTAAAAGCCAAGATTTTGATATGGAGAGGCCACAGTTGTTCAAACTCAGTAGACTTTCCAAAAGCAGCAGCAATACACCAACAAGAATGAGCAAGAATGAATCGAGGAAAATGTCATTGCCAGTTATTGATTTTGATATCAATCGTACTAAAGCTTTGGATGTTATTGATAGGGTGGATAGTCTAAGGAAATTATGAGCAGTCGCATAGATGTTTCTGAAGAGGAATCATAAGAAAATCTCCATTTTGTTTTCTGTAGCTGTAGAGAGGTGGTGGCCATGGTTTATTTGTATGTAATTAGGATAATAGTTTTTTACTTGTGATGAAAAATGCAGTCAGGAATGAGCTGTTGTTGTGAGATTGGCGTTTTCTGGTAGGAGAATTTCTGTTTAGAAGTGTGGCTCCTAAAACAGGAAGGGAAAATGTACATGTAATTCCTGGAAATTATATATTTTTTCAAGGCTTTTAAAACCGGACCGGCCGGTTCAACCGGTTGAACCGCGAGCCGGCTGGCCTGCCGGTTAAGGTTCGACTGAGAACCGTTTTCGCGTCGAACCGGACTCGGACCGTTTGAACCGCCGGTTCGACCGTTGAACCGGAAAACCGGCTCCGGTTTCTCATAACCGTTTTCGCGTCGAATGGTTGGCTTCTTGATCGACGGCAGCTGTGCAGCCTCTTCGCCGGAGGTAGGGGCGGCGGGATGCAGCAAGGGGGCGCACGTGCCCCCACTGACTTTATTAATAATTCTTAATTAAGTATATTTATGAGTCCACTAATTATCTAGTAATTCAAAATGGTTTTATTATATATTTATATGTCCTCTTTCGTCACATACATTAGCCATATACAACAACCGGCGGGCCATACAACCTATTTTGCAACTCTGTCAACATGTCTTATTATATAAAGCAAAACATTTATGACTTTCACGGTGTGGGACTAAAAAGTTGTTTTTTTT